AGTGGGTTTGGTTTTTTGGGTTTTGAGTCTAAATGAAGGCGTTTGCCTCCACATTTCGGCCCCAGGATGCCATCTGGAAACATTGATGCGGAATTGAAGGGATTCACACGTGCTTTGTAATACACAGTGGTGTCACTGGGGGGTGGGAGGGGTGCGGACCATGCCAGGTGACGCTTTCAGAGGGGGTAACACCAAATGACTGTCTATAAAATTTCTGTGCAGTGTTTCAGCAGAAGTTTATTATTTTTTTATAAAAAATCCCTGTAGTTACTTATAACAACAAAAACATTTTTCATAAATCCTGTTTACATGCATCAGTATACCTACAATATACCTAATTTACTTTTTAAACCTAATTGGATCTGGTCAGAGCCGCCATGATTAGCCAGTTACAAAGATGTTTCGAATCACGTGGTTTCGTCTGCACGTGCTACACACACCCGCTTTCATTTTTGTTGCTGCTGCTGTTTTTATCGTCACTGATTTTGTCAGATTTTCTGGTGCTAACCAAAAGGTTGGCAGTTCAAATCCACCAGCCACTCCTTGGAAACCCTGTGGGACAGTTCTGCTCTGTCCTATATGGTTGCTTTGAGTCGGAATCGACTCAATGGCAACAGGTTTGGTTTGGTTTGGTTTGGGTTTCTTGTGGTAATTAGGATTTGTGAACTTATATCGATAACTTTTTTGAGAAATGAAGAAGTAATTAAAGGAAAAGGAGTGATAAACAGGAATTACGATTTACAAGTAACGTTAGTATGGAAAACATTACTAAGGATTCTCTGTGGTCTGGTACGCGAGGAGGTCCATGGGGGATGACACCGTGAGTTACTACACTGGGTGACACCAACCCTAGAGACGCCACTGGTAATCCAGGTCATGGGGACCTGAGGGTCCATGTGCTGGCTTAGGAAGTGGTATCCTGACATGAGTGTTCACAGCCTGACTTTGGAAAGGTCTCGCTTGCTTTGTGGACACGTGTGCACCTCTGACGAGTGTGGAATCTCTCAGAGGTGCATTTCGTAAGTCTGTTGACATGACCTGGTTGTGTAACGATGTCTTTTCACATTGCGTTTTCATTAAATGTTAAGTAGTTCCAAAATATGAATAAAATATATGTAAGGGGTAAGCATAATACAAAAATCATACTTTTGTAGTAGCTGTTACCCAAGGATCCTTGGTGGTACAACGGTTAAGCACTCAGCGGCTAACTGAAAAGTTGGCAGTTTGAACCCACACAGCAGCTCAAAGGAGAGAGACCTGGCGATCTGCT